AAAGAAGATTTAAGAACAAATCGATTGGCTAATCGAACAAGATTCATGAGCATGTTATCAAGCAGAATATGAGAATGAATCGCTTGATTTGAACAAAGGATTTTGAGATGTCTTGACTTTCATGATTCAGAACTAAAGATTTCAAAGAACAATGTATAGGTTTAAACATATGAACAGTACAACGACAATAATGGGCTCATGAATCAATATAGGATCGGCTGAATGAATATCGATCAAAAATTGGGCTAGATGATTTGGTTTAGGGTACGAATTCAGATCAAATCCAAAGACAAATGAAAAATAAAAGGAGAATTGGATCGAAGTTATACCCAAATGAACAGTAGATGAACAACATAAATCTCCATGAATAGTAACTTGAATAGAATTTTGATTCTAAGATGTCAAAACACCAATAATCTTCTATGCGTAGAAAATCATCAAATCAAGAACCGATACTTCAAAAACCAATAGATCTTCAAAGACCCGCTCTGTTACCACTTGTAGGGATTAAACCAAATTGAGATTTGATGAACCAGATGTGGAAAATAAGAACAAACACACATATGAAGATATGTCAAATGATCACTCGATTTATTCAATTATGAGGAACAGATTACACTTTAAGAATAAGAATCTAACTCTACAAGAAACCTCACAACGTGGCAGCTACATTTTGCCTCACTCTTTTCCCTAATTATAAAAATATGTCAAATGATTACTCAATTTATTCAATTATTGGGCTTTTAACCTACACTTCATCAAGAGGGCCCATTGCCATCTTCCATGGAGTACTTTGAAACCCTACAGATATGAGGGGATCAATTTGAAAAGTATGGGTACGTGCATTGTCTTGTTCAAATAAAAAGTCAGCATGAACATTTATTTCTAACAAAGAGCAGAGGAAAATAAAGGTCCGTGTGTGAGATATAGTTTTCGTCTAGCACTCTCATCTCCAGCAAAGTGTGTCACACGCTCCAATCCATAGAAGATACTTTAGTGAAAACGGGCTCACATACATTTAAGGTACAACATTTGGATTTATTGTCAATTATTTCATGGGAAAAATGATGTGCCAGTTATTGGTTCACCCACTCCAAGATTCTGATTAAACCTCCTGCCACCTGACGCAGGACACCTTCCACATGCCTCAAGTCTTCTCCACCCCACATTCCTATGCCAACCTTATTTAATTTCATCCATTGTTCCGGACTCAACATGGTCCCCACCTTCCGGAACCACTATCAATGTTTCGAACCTTACTATCTCATCCGAAGTCAAAACCTTATTTTAATTCAAGAAATCATTTTCAAACCCACTACAGAACCAAGCCTTATCCATTCCAGACCTTTTCTTAACCCATTTCAAAACCTTTTTTATTTTTTATTCTGAATTTTTATTTCAAAAACCCATTCCAATTTTTTTTTTTAAAAACCCACTTGCATTTTGGTTCTAGACCAAAAATAATTCCGGACCCTTTTCTTTTTTTCACATAGGAACCTAACCATTCCAGATTTAAAAAAAAAGGTTTCGAACTCAAAATTTTCGCCCTCACCCTTCCATTCCGAACTCAATATTTCCTGAATCAAAAAAAAAAATTTCGGACCTTGCTTTTTAATCCCATTTCGCACATTAATTTATTTTTTCATTCCTGACCCTATTTTTCATTTTCACTTCTGAATTTCCACTACTAACTTTTTCCACTCCTAACATTTTTCAATCTTAACCCTTTTCTATTCCTAATATTTTTTACTTCTTATCCACTTCAAAACCTTCTGAGACTTAATCCATTTTTAGGACTGAATCCATTTTTATCATGGATCCACTTTATCCTCTTCTTACTTTTTTTTTAGTTCCGAAACACATTCTTTTTTTTTTAAACTCGTTTATCTTTAACTTTTTTTTTATTATAATCAATTTATTTATTTTTTTAAAACCAATTAATTTTGCTTGACACCCATTATTTTTTTTTAAAATCCATTATTTTTTTAATAACAATTTTTTTTTTAAAACCAATTATTTTTTAACACAAATTTTAGCCTCATTATTCAAGGCTTCACTCTTTGTGCTGATTATGAGTGAACACACAGTTGGTTAAGAGATTATTATTTTTGTGTCTCACTTCTATGTAGCTACTCACATTTTTGCTCCATTCGGACTATTTATATATGGTTTCGGACCATCATTTGGGAGTTTGGGTTTGCATTTCAGTTATCGGCATTACTTCGGTTCAGCATTATGATTTTTCAGCAGCGGGTTTATCATACATATTATACAATGTTTGTTCAGTTCGGCGATACATCACCATGTCTACCCATGACCAAAAAATAATATCCTCGTTTTACAGGTAGATGCTTACATCAAGGGGGAGTGTGCGATGGTCCATCATATCCGACATATTTTCTTTCCCGATTTCATGATTATTTTTTTTATCTTTATTGCATGGTCGATCAAAAATAAGGGGGAGAAACATGAGCATCCATTCTGGTTTATTATTGGAGTTTTGACGTTAGAGACATTTGAAGATGGAGATTCATTTAGTAGTGTGATGTGGCACTGATTTTTGATTTTCATAGATCGAATTTTTGACACTACTAAATGTTCTTCGGATTACGATTATTTATCTTCAGACTCTACATTTGGGATGTCTCATTTGTGTTTGCATCCGGTTAAGATAATATGATTGCTCGAGTTTGGATTTGCGATATTTTGAGCACGATAATTATTTTAGCGATGCGGCGTGACACTTATTTTTGATCTCACGATCTATTTTTTGGCATTGCTAGACCATGTCTTCGGATTCACATTATTTATCATTCGGCCTTTATTTTTGGATGCTTCACATGTTAAATAGGTTGCTCTTCATAGATTATTTGGTGCATTATCATTCGATTTCCGAATATTGAAGACGTTGTGTGATTCCACATTGTGCTCTTCGGTTCTATAGTCGAGGGGGAGACTGTGAACATGATTAGTTATGGGGACTGATCACATTTGAAGATTGGAATTTAATAATTTTATTCAGAGATTGGGTTCCTCTATTTGTTTTTTGATGCTACAGATTTCATTGCCAGATTCCGAGATCACGACAGCTTCAACATCTCCGAGACACTTCAGCACCAGACCTTCTGGACCTGCCTATCGAATGTTCTGCCTTTTATCACTGCTTTACCCTCACCATTTTCTAGCATTTACGGGGAGATTGTTGTAGCATGAAAATGATCTACAATGTTGAGTGCTTATTAGGTTAGAATATTACCTTGTATGAAAAGCATATTCCCTCCACTAGTATATAAAGTGGAGGTGATGGTCATTTTTATGTAGACTTGTAGATTAGAGAGAGTATGGTGGGATCTTTCCCACCAAGGGAGATTTATCTCTCCCAACCCATGTGTGTTATTGTATTACTCTGTATCTGTCTATCTATTCATTATAGTTTTACTCACATATATTGTTCATCATGTTCTTACAATTATCTTCTTAGTAATATCTTCCGCACCGATCCAATCGACAAAATGGGAACCAACAATTCTAAACCAAGAGTATCGCCTCGACATATCTTGATGTCCTTTACCAATAGAACCATTCCAAGTCACAACACCGGAGCTTGATCTATCATCATAACTGAATCCATTCGTTACCCTTGAACCCTTCTATCGATACCCTCGATACATACATACCCCGATCCTCAACCCATAGAAATGAAAATCCTGCACAAAACACTCGTGTTACCCGACTTTAGATCTTATCTAAACATCAGACCCAATACTCAACTCGTAATCCGAGATCCATAGATCTGCAATTGTATTTTACCCAAAACCTTCTGATAATGACAACCCATGCTGATACTACCAGTCTTGCACCTGGTCTAACTATCAGGTTCCCAAGAGTCCAAATAACAAGGCTATCTAGCCTGTACACCCTTCTACATCATACAGACTAACCACTCACTGAATCCTGAAAAAATCCAGAATCCAATACCTTGACCCAACGGTCTCTACTAGGTCCCACATCTGTTACTATAAACAAAAGGGCCTTGCCCATCGGTCGCACCCAAACTATACCATGGAGCGGCCTTTCCCACGGTTCCCACCCATCTAGGGTTACACAGACCTAACACCACCTTGGACCCTAATGGTCCTCAACAGATAACGGAGAAATACTCTGTGACAATCCTGACTGGCGTGGCCATGGCACAAACTGATTACCTCTCTACGCTCATATCCACTACCTATAATAGTCTACCTTAAACAGATGAATGCTACGATCCATCGCAATCTCACAACACTTCTAACCAATGATGGTTACCACCCCGGGTGTCATCACTACCCAATCATCTCAATCCCAATGTCCTGAATCAAATCTGCATTATTCAAGAACAAGAAGCGAGGATCTACTTCACTCTCAGTTGACGTCCATCCACAAACCTGCTATGCATAACAAGAAAACGTCGACTAGCTGTCAGGAGTTTCTCTGAACTCCCACTTACAAAACCTTGAACTAAACGGTCACTTGTGTCAACCATTATTACTTATATTCTTTCAGAATGAATGTCATTTATATATGTTCATATTTTTATTTGTTAAGAATGAATGTAATTATTGATTTTAAGATATTACAATTCTTTTCATAAAAAATTCGTATTCATTAAAAATTATTAACTTGATAATATATGTTTATACTATTTTGTAAGAATGTAATGTTTTTTCAAGATAATCATAAACACATTCTTTTAGAATGTCCGAATTAATATATATATATATATATATATATATATATATATATATATATATATATATATCTTACTATCTTATAAAAGAAATCTCACTATTTCTATAAATAGATTTAATATAATAATAATATTTTTTAAGACGTTCAAATGATTAAGCTAATAATACAAGTAGTCATCAATAAAATAATAATATTTTTTAAATCGTACAAAACATAAAGAATGAAATACAATTAACCAATGCATATATACTTCTTTTCTATCACAAGTTTGACCGGTTCTTTAGTCGCTGATGATGAGTTGTGAAGAAGCCTAAGATCCCGGCAAAAATCTTCAGTTTTTGGCCCACCTTCCCCTATATCTGTTCTTCTTCTCCTTCGTTGAAAATATCCCTTTTCTCTTTCTACTAAACGATTTTTCTTTATCTCTCAGTAAAAAAACCTAAGACCACTCACTACACCTCCGTTTACACCTGCCACCACCAAACCAGCAACGTACAAACGGACCCCTCAGTTACATCGTGCGCACCACCACCGTGTGATTGCACCACCACATCAACTAAGCAGAAACCAACATCGCACCACCAGATAAGTGAATAGGTAACTCTAATTTAATCTCATTCCTTGCTTTCTTCTCCCCTGTCTCTCCGACTTTAAAAACCTTCAAACAAAAACCCTTATATGTAGAGATCATCCCTACCTTGGAGGCCACAAAGACGAAGAGCAATAAATATTGTGAAAAGTAATGCTCAAAATCTTATCAAGGTCGAAAGGAATCAAAAGGTGTAGGTAACTCTAATTTAATCTCATTCCTTGCTTTCTTCTGCCATGTCTCTCTGACTTTAAAAACCTTCAAACAAAAACCCTTATATGTAGAGATCATCCCTACCTCGGAGGCCACAAAGACAAAGAGCAACAAATATTGTGAAAAGTAATGCCCAAAATCTTATCAAGGTCGAAAGGAATCAAAAGGTGCGTTTAACATAAAGGTATTTTGAACCAAAACACCAAACTCTGAAATCATCGACTCACTTCTCGGGGTTAGTAAGCTTAACCCTAACCCTAATTGTTTTGGTTTCTCAAATTGTCGTTTTAAGTTTAAAATCTCAAGTTTTAAATTGGATTTCATTCTCTTTCCGAGACTAATTAGATAATAATGGGGGTTTAATGTTTTATTCAGGTGGTTTTGTGGAAATCAAGCATTAAGAAGTAATTTTTTGATTGGGATTAACAAACTGCTCAGGGAATGTTTTGGTTGGGATTACAAACTGCTAAGGATCTTACGAATATTAATTTGATCATCAAAAAGTTGTAGATGTGATAAGAGAGAAGATAGGATTAGTTTCATGTGTGTTTCTTGATTATCCACCTAACATTTGGGGTGATTGAATCAGAGAAGGGATTAGATGGTTTATTTCGTTGGAATGAAAAAAAGCATGTATGTTTTGTCCAATGGAATGGAATGGACCAATCATGATTCCTTCCATTACTTTTCTTATTTGCGATTCAATTTTTTTTTGACTTTTTCCTTGGTTTTTAGATGAGCACCAAGTGTTCGATGAAATTCCCGAGCGGGGATATTTATTATTTAGGTAGTATTGGGAACTTAATCTCAGGTATGTTGTTAATCTATGTAATTTAACTTAAAAACTTTTGGTTTTAACAACATTACTTGCATATTAAATATTATTTAACTTCCCCAATGTCCAACCACAGGTGATGAAAAAAGAGTGAAGTTTGCCACGGAGATCATGAAAGGATGGGGTTCTGGTGACTTTTTTTTATCTTGTGGTTTAGTTTTTATTTCGATTTTATTTTCTTCCTAATTCTTAATTTTGATTTACCTGTGGTTTTTTATTCTGAGTAATGGTTGTTGTTGGTTTCAGATTTTGTTACGTGGTTATTAATGAAAAGTCTTAATTATTTGGAAAGGAAAAAAGGTTGCAATAGTCTTCACATATTTGAGGGACATATAGATTTTTTACATCTTTTTGTTCTCACAAGAATTCTACTTTCATCTATAGGTAAAGAAGTTAAAAGTATTTTGCTAATTGAATTATTTGTTTGCAGAGAAGACAAGTGATAAACAAATGATTTTGCAAAAGGCTTTATAGATCCCATGGATTTGTTCATTACCACATGTAATCTTGATTTTTGCCTCCACGAGTAATGTTATTTTAGGTAATTAACATTTCATCATGCACTTATCATGTTTCAGGGCTTCGCAATGTACATTGTACTTTTGATTTTTAAAAATTTAGCATATTATAGCATTGTACTTTGAAAACCTACCCAATCATAGTAATGATATTTAAATATAAAGCGCATTTCTTTTTGTTAATATGAAAAAGTTTTGAAGTAAAATGCTATAATTGTATAAAATGTTCAAGTACTTTCTGTGGCCGTTTTTGTGCTTATATAATGTTGTGTGTGCACATTGCTCCAATAACAAGTGTGAGGTGACAAGCCGACAACTGTACTTAGGATACTTATAGTTGCATCATATTATTATTTCATGTCAAGTATTAATTAGTTTTTTTAGCTCTTCTTTTCCTATAAGTGTGTGGTTGGTTAAAGAAAAAATATGCAGGTGCTATGACAGAGATAATTTATTGCTTTATGTAAAAATGTTTTTTTGTTCTTCCTGTTTGTAACTAGAATTTTATTTAAATGTTTTTGGTTTTTGAGTTTTTTTTGTCATTGTTGTGGGTTTTTTTTTCATATTCTGATGCATTGTATTTGGCTGACTCATGATTACTGTTTCATTATTAGGTCCTTAATGTCACCATCATCAAATTTTGCAGTTGAGAAACTAATGATGATCATGACTATTTATTAAAAGCCCCCCCCCCCCCCCCCCCCCCCCCACCCCCACCACCACTTGATTGGACCAACATCTCAACATAATTCCATTATTGTCTTCACGGTTCTACTTTAAATTCAGAGAATAAGGATCATTTCCCTGTCTCATGCGAGCAACACTACCATGTAGTCTATGTAACTGCTTGCCATGTTTTTTTGTGATTCCTATGGCTGGGGTAAATGATGAAAATGGTAATTTTTATGTGCTTCCTTTGATAGTCTGTTAACTAATTCTTGGTGCTTCTTCATTTTTCTCCAAATAGGCACTAAAGTTGGAGGTTGCAAGTCAAAAAGGAAGAAAAATTAAAAATAGATGTGGTTTGTTTAGATAACCTTATACCTTTTATTCATACCCATCTTTTTTACTCGTATGACTTGAGAATTAGGGAAAATTGCATTTTCAAAAATTATAAAAAGAAAAGGAGTGATGTTGGTATACTAATAACACCAAGTGCAAATGAAAGGAAAGAGTAAAATGGTCTTTATTTGATCAATATTAAAACAAAATGCAATGGGAGTAAAGGGCAAAATGGCAAAATGTTCTTTGTAGCTCATCGTGTACTTGGAGGTTGATATGGTAATAACTGATTTTTGTATCCATTCTTTCTAATTATCATTATGTTGTATCCTTTGGTTAGAGATATCGACTCTTTTATGTTTATAGATTAGATGTTTTCTGGGTTTATGTTTTATACATTATTTTTTTAGCTTTGTTTGATTTTAGTCTCTTTATGTTTATTCTTACTTAAAAAAAAAGATTAGAATGTCTTTTAAGCCTTGATCTAATCACGAATGAATCATGCATTTGAACTCCTTACTATTTAAGATTATACATATCTTAAAAGTGGTTTTATTTTATTATTATTTGATGGTTATGGTTATATTAAAGCTTTCAAATTTCAAACAATAAGTTTAGATGTGGGTTTTTATGAGATACTGTTTAAATCAACAAACTTTAAGCACATCAATGGGTTAGTGTTCAAATGGGATATTATTTTAAATAAATGAGTCACAAAATCGAAAACTTTAATTAAATATAAATGGATCCAAAATATGAATAGTTTATATAAGTGAAATAGTTTCTCACATAAAAGAAGAATATTTCTGTTTCCTTGTGCATCGCATACTTTTACTAAATATGGAAACTAATTTTCGAAAGAAACTAATCGTCAAAAGGTAACTATTCGTTTCAACCCTTAGTCCAAAACCATAAACCACTTATATTCCGTTCCACTATGCGGTTTCGAGCAAAAGAAAGAAAATTGACGTTGGACTCGCAAACCTAAGCGAGAATGGATTTGCAAGCCGATGCATGGGTTGTACGTATGAATACGACATGTCTTGACATTAACTATTCGTCGAAAGGAATTCATTTTCGAAAATAACATTTTCACCGCTGCTTCTTTACGCTTTGCGTGTGAACACACCTACTAGAAACGTACTTTGAAATACAGCATGGATTCATTGGTTACAATGTTTAGTTTGAAATAACAACTCAAATTCAAAATGCCATACAATTATTTATATTTAAATGGTGATTAGTATTTATAATGTATTTTATGTTCTTTGGAATCAAATATGTTATCATGAAACATAAATGATCTATTTTCGAAATAATGGATTCAACATATGAAAACATCTATCCAACATACTAAAAAAAAGCAACAAATATATTAAAGAATACATTGTTCGCAAAAAAATGTTCAATTGAGACTCATGCGTAGTGATATTTGACAATACATTTTGTCTTATTTTTAATATCACATGTTTCTTAAATCAGACTAATCGTTGAATTGAAATGAATCATTATCTACTGAAAAGAAATTAATTGTCGAAACAAACTATCCGCCGTCCGCCGCTTTGCACGGGTAAACGGCTAGTATATATATATATATATATATATATATATATATATATATATATATATATATATATATATATATATATATATATATATATATATTGAGACCATTCTAATTTTGTAAGACCGTGAGACCGAATGTAAAAATAATTCTAAAATGCAAAATAAATGGAAAAATTCAAAAAATTCTTTTTTTAAATATTATTTTCGGAACTTGAATTAACTAAAAAAAATAAAAATAAAAAAATAAAATAAAAAAATCTCGTTTTTTTTTAAAATACGTGAAATATTCTAATAGAATATTACACTATACATGTTCTAAAAAATAATTTTAAAATGCAAAATAAATGGAAAAATCTAGAAATTCTTTTTTTTTTAAATATTATTTTCGGAACTTGAATTAACTAAAAATAATAAAAAAAATCTCGTTTTTTTTTTAAATACATGAAATATTGTAATAGAATATTATACTGTACATGTTCTAATCATTCATTTTCCATATAACTCTTCCCTATATATATATATATATATATATATATGGTGAGGTCTATAGAGAACCATAATCAACAACGAACCAAAGAACCAATCGTAAGCGTTCGAAATCATAATGATCAACGGTTCAGGAAATAGATGTACACTTTTATATTAGACGCACAGACACCGAATTATACCAAAAAATCCACCTCCTTACCAAAGAACCACCTCTTCTTTTCATTTAAAATTTTTTTAGGACACAGTTTTTATCAACAAAAATCGAATATACCATTGTTCTCGATTTTTCGTCTTCTTTGCATACAGATCCATATTGATATACAAAAAAACGAACCTTTTTTTCCAAAAAAACCCTCTTCATTTTGTTAGTTTTTTCAATATATAAGTTTATTTTTATAAAATACCAAAAACATTAACTTTTTGTACTCTATTAATAAACAACAACAACAACAAAAAAAAAAAATAAAAAAAAAAAATAAAAAAAAATAAAAACTCGAATACTGTAGACTCAAAAATAGATGAAGTGGATTTTTTTCGAAAAAAAAAATCTTTTTTATATATCATAATAGATCTCTTTGGAAATAGGACGAAAAATCGTGAACAACGGTATACTCGAATATTTTTTTCGATATAAAGATGGCCTAAAAAAATTTTAAACGAAAAAAAAAAAAAAATGAGTTTGTTATAATATGGTGCATGTGCATCTATTGTAAAAATCTACAACCCTTCATTATGTCATTGATCGTTTTAAATTTCGACGTTTTGTATTTGTTCGTTGGTTCTTAATTAATAATGGTTTTTTTATTGTACTTTTCAATATATATA